CTGTCCCCTGCTGCTTGTACGTCTACCTGTCCGTCTTCGACGCTTCTCAGCAGTTTTATNGCTCGTCATCCCACCACTTAACCGATACCCCACATCATACCACCTTCTTTTGCACTACTCTATCTGCCGTTGCGTTCACTATGGACTCCCACCCGTCAATCACCCTGTCCCCTGCTGCTTGTACGTCTACCTGTCCGTCTTCGACGCTTCTCAGCAGTTTTATTGAAGGGTTCTACACTATCAGCCAGTCCCTTCTGGAATTCATCCCGTGTCCCCTCGTCTCCCAAACGCTCTACTTTCCACCGGAATTTTTCCTCTGTTTCGTACTCTCCATCTTTCTAGATCGGTCGGTGTTTGCCCATATGAGGAAGTGGTTGGTCGAACCTGTATCTATCCGCACTTGCGNATTCATCCCGTGTCCCCTCGTCTCCCAAACGCTCTACTTTCCACCGGAATTTTTCCTCTGTTTCGTACTCTCCATCTTTCTAGATCGGTCGGTGTTTGCCCATATGAGGAAGTGGTTGGTCGAACCTGTATCTATCCGCACTTGCGTGCGTGCAGCTCTGGGATCTGTGTGCTCCCCCTATCTACCAGGATGTAGTCGAGGATCGAGTATTCATTGCAACCTGCCCGTTGCCTGGTGAACTCCGGGAGGGTTATCCTGATGGGATGGTGGAAAAATCGATACGATACAGATTGTGAACCTGGGCTATGATGGCTACTGTTTGGGTACTGGAGCAAGTCTTCTTTCGGCAATGATGGACAGCCCGCTTGGAGTAGATCAGTGTGTGGTCTGATGTCCAACGCACCCACGTGCAAGTTGAAGACGGGATACCTGAGATGTGTTTTTCGCTCATGGTAGCATCTTGTCGACTTGCAGTGAGGGTTTTGGTTGGCATGGTTTCGTTTGTGGTTGGTCACGCATTTCATTCCCTGCGTCCCCATCCCCCAGATGCGTCGGCAGTCTTCGACGCACACGCAGACGTGCAAGCGTCTCGTGAAGGAGTGGTCGTTCTACGTGTCCAAGGCAAAGTGTCTCTCCAAGGTGTTCGTCTCCATCAAGGGCATCTATTTCCAGGCAGAGGTACAGTGGGCCTAGTCAGAGTTTATTCAGTTGCTGCGTCGTTCCGATGTGTGGACATTGCTCACGAGCAAAAAAATAAAAAAACAGAAACAAACGCCCGGGGTGGTTGAGAGTTCGGTCTGCGTGAAACGTTGTGTGCTCCTTTGGAAAACGACCACCACCGCGTTGCCTTGTCTTTGCCTTGACGCGACCTACTTGTAGCGAGCCCACCTAAGATGGAGAAGCCCCTTGACTGTAACACAGCCAGCGCCGGAGCAGCAGTAACCAGTGATTGTATATGATACGACCAAGGCTAACGCCACTTAAAAGTTACCCGCACAAGGCACGTTTTCCAGCAACCATGTGTAGCCTGTGGACTTTTTGATATTCCGTTTCTACAAACGGAAGCTCCTGCCGGATGTTCGTTTGTCTTGCTACGGCACATCAAGCTATTGATGACTGCCCTTGGTGATTTGCGTTTGTGTTTGTGTTCTTGGCGTTTGCATCGTCTCACTCAACGGTGCGTTCTGCTTGACCGTCACATATGCTGTTTTCGCTTTTTTTTTGTCGTGTTTCCTCACCCCAGCAATGAAGAGTCCTCTCGTTGTTGCTCCCATGCAATCGCCGCGCTCTCAGGTGATGGGCCAGCCGGTCACCTGGGTCACCCCGCACATGTTCACCACTCGCTACCCCCGAGACGTGGACTTCACGATCATGATGACCTTTCTCGAGTTCTACGAGACACTTCTGAAGTTCGCCATGTTCAAGCTCTTCCACACCCTGGACCTCAGGTATACATGTGCGAGGCTTGGGGGGTATTTCGCCGTCGTTGCGCTTGTTGCTACACCGAAAGATGAACCGAGGCTCTCGCTTGCGGGCGGAATTGACATGGGCGACCCTTTTCTTGGAGCAACTACGGCAACCATCTCGCGCAACAGCGGCAGTGTCGGAAGAACATTAGATGCAGCAGTAGCATCCCATGTCAACTTTGTCCCTCTTGTTGCGTTTCGGGCATGAACTGGCACCCATATATATGCCTGCCCGTTCGGCTGGGATGGCAGGTACCCTCCGACCCTGGACGCGGAGCTAGACGGGGTCGACGCGGGACTGTCAACTCTCAAGACGCAGAGCCTTGAGGGGGCGGGGGGCGGAGACGAGGGGGTTGGCGAGGGGCCCGCGGATGGGGAGGAAGAGGAGGAGGAGGAGCACCGGGTGCTGCCCAGCACGAAGGAGGAGCGGAGGGAGGCCAAGAAGAGGCTGAAGGAGGAGGGTAAAAAGCTCAAGGTGCGTTGTGTGTAAAACGACGACTACGGTTGAGCGCGGTTTCGTGTACGTCAGTCGGGCTCAAGAGATTGGTGTAGGGTTGGTTTCATGCTCAGCCAGCAAAGAAAGGAAGGGGGTCCTTTGAGGTTTGGGGTTTTATTTGACCCACCCGCTGCGGGACAAATCAAGTAAGAGCGCCGTTTGCGGTGGCCTCGCCGTAATCGCTTGATACATGTCGAAGGCCTGGAGCATACACGTGAGCATGTGTTTTTCTCCGACGGAACGTTGGCTCTACTCATGCCCCGGCTTGTACTCGAACACGCACTCGGTCAGGCGACGGACGTTGTTGCTCTGTCCGTGGCTTCCTGTAGTCCTGAACTATAACAAGCCTCTGCGTAGAACGGGCAGGGTGCGGGGGGCGGAAAAAGGGCCTCGCTCCACGAACTTCCGATACCCCAATACGTGTTCCCGGTGCGCCTCGGCCGAAATGACGTGCACAGGCTGCAACGGGCAGAGCGTTACCCTCGATACTGGGTGGAAACACTCGGCAAAACAACACCACTACCGTACCGGAGTTGCTGCTGCCTGTCTTACGTGAGGTAGAACACGCGGTCTGAGCTCAGATCGAAGCATCCTACCTCCTGCGCCTTACAGATTGGGCGTCGTCCGTCCATCCCTCGACCCCCCCCCCCCCCCCCCCCCCCCCCCCCCCCCCCCCCCCCCCCCCCCCCCCCCCCCCCCCCCCCCCCCCCCCCCCCCCCCCCCCCCCCCCCCCCCCCCCCCCCCCCCCCCCCCCCCCCCCCCCCCCCCCCCCCCCCCCCCCCCCCCCCCCCCCCCCCCCCCCCCCCCCCCCCCCCCCCCCCCCCCCCCCCCCCCCCCCCCCCCCCCCCCCCCCCCCCCCCCCCCCCCCCCCCCCCCCCCCCCCCCCCCCCCCCCCCCCCCCCCCCCCCCCCCCCCCCCCCCCCCCCCCCCCCCCCCCCCCCCCCCCCCCCCCCCCCCCCCCCCCCCCCCCCCCCCCCCCCCCCCCCCCCCCCCCCCCCCCCCCCCCCCCCCCCCCCCCCCCCCCCCCCCCCCCCCCCCCCCCCCCCCCCCCCCCCCCCCCCCCCCCCCCCCCCCCCCCCCCCCCCCCCCCCCCCCCCCCCCCCCCCCCCCCCCCCCCCCCCCCCCCCCCCCCCCCCCCCCCCCCCCCCCCCCCCCCCCCCCCCCCCCCCCCCCCCCCCCCCCCCCCCCCCCCCCCCCCCCCCCCCCCCCCCCCCCCCCCCCCCCCCCCCCCCCCCCCCCCCCCCCCCCCCCCCCCCCCCCCCCCCCCCCCCCCCCCCCCCCCCCCCCCCCCCCCCCCCCCCCCCCCCCCCCCCCCCCCCCCCCCCCCGCGCGATGGGTTTTATTGTTGTCAACGTTGACGACAACGACAACAACAACAGTCCTTGGAGGCCAAGCTTGGTCAGATCTCGCGCGCAGACAAGGAAGCTGCGGCAGCCGCCGCCTCGAGCGGCGCGGCGGCGATCGAGGGAGGGGGGCTCGGGGAGGGTGACGAAGAGGACGCGGAGATGGGGGACGCGTTGACGGGGCCCCTCGAGGAGGCTTTCATGTCCCGGACGGAGGAGGGGGAGGTGAATATTTTTGTGAAGAGCCTTTTTGTTTTTTTTTCTCCTAGGTTGCGTTTTGTCTCCAAGCATCCAGGCGGAGAGACAGGCAGGCGAGCTTGGTTCCACGCATGTTGTTTGGAAAGAAATCACCGAACAGCGTTGTAGCAGACCGAATCTGGATGAGAGCGTGCGATAGCTCCAAGGCTGTCGAATTGACCGCTTCGTCATTTCTCTGTTGTTTTTTGATCTGGCTCCAGGAAATCCTTGCTGACGAGGGCGCGGGCGGGGAGGAAGAGCGGCGCAAGCGCTTGTTCAAGGGGCTCAAGTTCTTTTTCGGGCGAGAGGTGGGGTTAGGGATGGGGTCTGCGTGCTCCCTCCCTGTCACTAGATTTTTTTCTCGTTAAGTCCATTCCTCGCGAAGACGGCCAAGACAACCACCGTGGATGCACTGCTGTAGCACGTCGGCAGAAAGGCATTCCTGGGCGTTGACGACAACGCGGTTGCGCTTCTGACCATGACCATCGATGCAGGTACTGTTGTAACACGTCAACAGCAGGCGTCACTCGTCGTTTGACGAAGTCTGTAGTGTTTTCGCTCCTGCTGCAGCACGGATGGCACGACTGGGAGTGAAAAATTTAATCCCACGACCAATCATAAGGAGATTTCGGACAAGGAACGAAGCGGGAACCACGTCGTTACCTTTGGCCGTGCTATGCATTTGCGAATCTCAATTTTGTGTACGGCCGCATAGCTGGCCACCGTGGATGGCCGGCCTTAACCCCCGGCACTCAAACGGAGTTTGAGGTTTACCTGAATGTTCTCCATCAGAGAAACACGGTTTCTCCGGCCGTAACACAAGGGCGTACCGCCCTGTCTATGCAGCCTTGAATAGGGAATTTTTTATGATCTGTTTTTTTTTTCCCCTTTCATCAGGTGCCGAAAAGCTGGCTGGAGTTGGTGGTAACCTCCTGCGGGGGGGTTGTGGGGTGGGAGGGGGAGGGCAGCCCGTTCTCTTCCGCTGACCCGGGCATCACCCACCAGGTGTGTGCCGAACGAAGCTGCAGCGGCACCTCGGCTTGGCGTTGACGGGCCGACGAATGGTGGAAAATCTTGGAGATGGTGGTGTTGTTAGTGGCCTTCTCGTCTGTTTTGGTTCCGTTCTTTTGTGGTTTGGTGTGCTCGCGTGCTGTTGTACCGCAGGTGACATGACATGACATGACATGACATGACATGACCTGACATGACATGACATGACATGACGGTGGATACCACTCACCCTGAAGCAGGTTTTGACAGCTAGGTTCATCCACAGCAGAACGAGTGGTAGCGCCGAAAACGGCGGTGTTGAAGCTGTCTCGTCGAGAGCTAGCGATACGTTTCGTTCATGCATCGTCTCGGCCGTGGAGTAGTCGAGATTTTTAAAATCGGTCCGGGGGGTGTGTTATCTTGCGTCATGCCACCTACGGTAGTTGGAATGGCTATCGTCCAAGGTTGTTGGTGACATACAGTGTTGGTGTCACCGTAGTTTGGCACTGCTGTGTCTTGTTTTTTTTTTTAATTGACTGAAATGTGTGTTCTGCTACTTTGTCACATCTGAATATTTCCATTTTTTTTTCCAAAATTCTGACGAAATACACCACTCTTTCGTTTTCAAATTGTATTGGTTTTCCCCCATGTCCCGGGTGATATTCGGCAGCGTTCAGCTCTGTGTTTACCTGTATTCTAAGTCGCATCATTTTGATCACCCCCCCGCAGCTCTTTTTTTTTTTTTTTTACCTCCGGTTTTTTTTTTGGCAGTAACCATAATGG